CTTGTTTTCTGGGGAGGTGGGTGTGGCCCGGTTTACAGTACTTTCAACCTGCTCTCTATTTTCTTTTCTAGATTTATTTTATGTGCACGTGTGTTTTACCTGCATGTATGTCTATGTGTGTCTGGGGTCCATCGTGGTCAGAATGGAGTTGGAGCCCTTGGAACTGGAGTTACGTATGGTTCTGAGCCACCATGAGGGAACTGGAAATTGAACGGGTGTCCTCTGAACACCGGCTTTTTGAGACAGGGTTTCTCTGTGTAGCCCCGGCTGTCCTGGACTCACTTTGCAGACCAGGCTGGCCTTGAACTCACAGAGATCTGCCTGCCCCTGCTCCCTGAGTGCTGGGATCACAGGCGTGCACCACCACCGCCCGGCCTGTTTCAATTCTTGATGACTGGCATGCTGGCACCCGGCTCATTGCACTGCCAAGGCTCCAGCAGTTTATGAAGGCCTTGGGGTCAGGGTGAGAGTGTTTGGGCTGTGGAACAGTGGAGGTTAGGTTAACTGGCTTCACATCTCCAGGCCTCTGCTGCTACTTCTTTTTTTTTTTTTTTTTTTTTTAAACAGTGCTTTCTCATTATGCTCATCTTACATTTCTGCTCTTCTTTTTTTTAATGATTTATTTAATTTTATTATATGTACATTAGTGTGAAGGTGACAAATCCCTTGGAATTGGCATTACAGACAGTTGTGAGCTGCCTTGTGGATGCTGGGAATTGAACCCACGTCCTTTGGGAGAGCAGACAGTGCTCTTAACCACTGAGCCATTTCTCCAGCCCCTCTCTGCTACTTCTTCTTTTTTTTTGTAATTTTTTAATTTTCATTTTTATTAATTACACTTTATTCAGTTTGTATCCCCCCGTGGTCCCCTCCCTCCTTCCCTCCCAATCCCACCGTCCCTCCCCCTTCTCCACACATGCTCCTCCCCAAATCCACTGATAAGGGAGGTACTCCTCTCCTTCCTTCTGATCCTAATCTATCAGGTCTCATCAGGAGTGGCTGCACTGTCTCTGCTACTTCTGAAAAATACTTATTTATATATTATGAATATGTAAACCATAGCATACAGCAGCCCTCAAAGGTCAGAAGACAGTTCTTATGAGTTTTTGCTTTTTAAAAATTAGTTTCTTTTTCTTTTAGGTACGTTGTTGTTTTGCCTGTCTGTGTGAGGGAGTCAGATCCCTGTGGGATCTGGGAATTGAGCCTGGGTCCTTGGTGAGAGCAGGCAGGGCACCGAGCCTCTGCTTTTGAGAACTGGAGGCCCAGAACTCGAGTTGCATTTCTGTTCCGATAAAATGCTGGCCAAAAGCCATATGAAGAAAGAAGGGTCTTCCTGGCTTCTCTGCCAGAGAAAGTCTTCACTGAAGGAAAGCAGGGCAGGAGATCAAGGTAGGAGCTAGAAACAGGCCTGCTGGCCATTCCACCTAGTGGGCCAGCTCAGGCGGGGCCTCTCCTGTCAATTACCACTTAAGACAGTCTCTCACAAACATGCCTACCTTCCAGTCTGGAATAACAAGCTCCCCAGTTGACCCAGTTCTCTCAGGGATCCCTAGGTTGTGTCGAGTGCAAGGTCAGGGCTGGCTAGGAAAGTGACCTTCACTTACTGTCACAGGATTGACAAAAGGCTCATGCAGGTATACTGTGTCACTCAGTGAATGCTCCTGCAGAGCAATCGCTCATCTGGCCCCTGCTAGCCAGCGCAGCTCACGCCTTCACAGGCTGAGATGCTTTTGTTTGTTTTCCCTTGAACTTGAACCTAGGCCCTTGTCCTTCCCAGACAAGCATGAGGCTGAGTTTTGTCAACAGTCTCTGATCCTCTGCTGACCTTCACTCTGTTCCCCTCTCTGCCTGCCTGCTCCTACGAGGACTTCTCTGTGTCTCCTTCATTTCTGCTTGTTGTTAAAGTTGGAATAGATTCCTAGTATGTTGTTGAGTGGATGGGTGGGTGGGTAGGCGGGTGGATGGATAGATGGATGTGTGGATGGATGGGTGGATGGATAAATGCATGGGTGGGTGGATGGATGG